TACTCGGTATTTTGTTTTCAATCGAGGTCCGTAGATGTTAGAGATTAAGTTATAGTCGTGTGATTAGGGGTGGTAATTCGGGTCAGCAGGTCGGGTTCGGGTCAGATTTCGGGTCAGATTTTGGGTCGATTTCGGGTTATGCTTAGAAACTATCAAAAATAGTGTAAAACTTAATATTATTATGAAATATGAAATTTGGGTCAAATCGGGTCGAATTCGGGTTATTCGGGTTCGATTCGGGTCGGGTTCGAATTTCTAAAACCCAATTCCAAAAAGTAATATTCAAAAGGTTGACATTATCTAAAACCCAATTCCAAAAAACTAATATTCAAAAGGTTGACATTATCTAAAACTAGTTTCTGGTCCGAGCATGTTCGAATGAGTATTTACAAGAAAAAAAAAAGTATTTTTTTATAAATTACTATAAGTTTATATTCACCCTTTATTTTTATTTCTTTTTTTTGAAGAAATTGTATTTACCAATTTTTATTTATCATGTTATCTTCTAACGAAAAAAAGTTATTGGTGGAAAAAAAATTATTCTAACACAATTTTTTATATGTAGCCAACCACAATATATAAGGCCCAAGCATGCAATCCAATTCGTTATAACGGACTCCGTTACATAGCACCGTTATAACTCTTATTATATATATAGATTTTTTAACTTCCCACTTTCTCCTATATATTAACAAAGTGAGTAAGTGACATTTTATCTTTCTTGCGTCTTAACTTTTTCTCTCTCCTCCATTTATATCTCAATCAAATTAATTTCTCCATTGTTGTTATTTATTTTCTCTTTCTTCAATAAAACTATCCTGCACTTTTTTTCTATTCTCCATTGTAGATATTCTAATTTGAACTATCTTCAATAAATACACCATAATTTATCGATTTAGAATGAACTTGGAACCGTAATCAATCGAAATTCAGAATAAACTTGGAATCGCAATTGAATTAAATCAATAATTCGAAAGTGTATGGATCGGACAAGTGCAGAACCATCGTTGTTGACCTCTGTTGAAATTCAAGCTTTTTCCATATTTAATTCAATAATTTGTACGAGTTATATGTAATTTGTTATATTTTATTTCGTATGGGGTTACTATTTCGTAGGGGTTGAGTACCCCATATGTATTCACGAATCTTTGTTGAAATTCAAGATTCTTCCATTTTGTATTATGAATTTCACTCTCCTCCATTGCATTTTTCGACAATTCTCTCTCCTCTAAATTCTTGTTCTTCGTTTATTCAAAAAACAAAAAAAACAATTCTTGTTCTTCGTTGCACTATGACTAAATATAAGGATTACTTGTTAACAAAAATAGGTTTACTTGTTAGTAAAAGTAGGTATTGGGTTACTTGTTAGTAAAGTGGGGTTACTTGTCAGTAATATAGGGGTTATTTATTTAGTAATGGAGTTACTTGCTAAGTTAAAACAAGGTTACCTACTAAGTAATACAAGGGTTAATTTACTTAGTATTTATGGGGTTACTTGATTGGTCAGTAAATTAGGGGTTACTTGAAATTATGGTTTACTTGAAATTAGGGGCTACTTATAATATGGGTTACTTGAAATTAAGGATTGCTACTTGAAATTATGGGTTACTTGAAATTAGGGGTGACTTGAAATTGAGCGTGAGTGTCAGATTCCGTTATGCGCGTCAGACTTCGTTATTTTTGCTGAGTTGGCAGCAGGCCACACGGTGTGGCCTGCCGCACCAAAAAGGCATTATTATTGTAAATGCAACACGTGTACTTTTGAGATAGGATTATGATAGGCGTGTCGCGTACCTAACAAAATATAACCTAACTGACCACTACTATGTAGCAGGGCAAGCAGGAGTCGAATCCCAAGAGACTAAGGTTCAACAATAATTAAATAGACTCAAATTCCTACTAAGCAAGAATCAATAATGATCGATTAACTAAGAAACTAATGTATGGAAAATTCAAAAATAAACTAAAGAATATGAAGAAATCAAGTAACTAAAACATCCAAGATCTAGTACCACCACAATTACGCTTGATGCAATTATATTTCTGCCCCTAACATACGATTCCAATTGAACGGAGAAAAGTAAACCCTAATCAATACCAAGGACCTCTCTCGAGTATCAATGGCTTCCCTAACATACAATCAAGCCTATTCTCATGGTATCATGCACATTAGAGACATTAAACACATTACTCTAACTTCCCAATTATCAACCTAACTATTCTCATGTTGAAAATCAAACCCTAAATTAATCTACACAAATCCGTTTAAACCCAACTCTCGCTGTGATAGAAACAATGGAATAATCACAATACTAAAATTACGTCTAACCTAGTATTGGAATAATCACAATCAATTTAGCATAGCAATTGCAAAAGTCATTAGAGAATTTAAAGATTTAATTCATGCATCAATCATAATTGGGCTACCCTAGATCTTGGAATAGGAAATCTACTCACTCATAATGGAATAAACAATAACAAAAATAATTAAAGAAAACATAATTAAGAAATAAGAGATGAAAAGAAAATACCAAATCTTGAATTAAATTGAAGGCGGAAAGTGTAAATCTTGAATCTTGAATTACAAAAGTAAAGAAAATAAAATAGAGAGAACTAGTTCTTAATAACGTAAAATAAAAGGCTAGAATAAAACTAAATGAAGAAATAAAACACTACTTAATATATATATATATATATCCCTAGAAAGATAAGAAGATAATTAAATTTCTTGGCGCATAATCCTTCTAGGAGGCACGGACGTGCCTACAAGAGGCACGGACGTGCCTCTGATCGAGTGCAAACTTCCTTGGCTTCTGACTTCTAGTCACGGACGTGCCTGTTTTGGGCACGGACGTGCCTAATGTCAAAGCTCATAGCTGTGTAAACTGACTTGGAGGCACGGACGTGCCTCCCCTACTGCGCGTATCACTCATCTTAAATCAGTCATAACTTCATATCTGAAGCTCCGTTTGAGGCGTGTAATATATTGTGTTGGAAAGGTCTTCAAGTTTACTTTCCAATGCAATTTGAATCACTCCATTATCATTTGTATATCAAAATTTATGAGCATAATAGTGAACAGGTGTCATATTTGTCAAGTATTTCATCAACGTTTGCTTCATTTTCACTCAATTAGCTCCGTTAATCCTGAAATACATCAAAAACAACGAAACTACCCATAAAAGCATCGAATCATCGAAACTAAACCAAATTACACCAAAATGGACTAAAACACTCAACTAAGCTAATAAAACCAACCAAAAAATAAGCTAACAAATATGCACAAAACCGACTTATCAAACTCCCCCAAGCTAGACTAATGCTTGTCCTCAAGCATTTAACCATGAATCACAAGGGAGGAGAAAGACAACTTCTCAAACCATCATAATGTGCCGTCAATTTGAAATCACGAGGAAAACAAAAATAAGATTCAATATGCATAAAACCACCATAAACCTCTTAAACTTGGAATCGACAAACATCTTACCACACATCTCCCCATACCAACTCACACAAACATAAATAGCTCTCACTTTAGTTGTGAAAAATAAAAACAATAAACGCTCATGTGTTTACGGGGTGAAATATGATATCACTCAACCTAAGCATAGAATGCATGTCAACTTCACATGAATTGTCCTCTTTAGGCTTGCAATGTGACTTTTTCCACTTCTAATGATTGATGCAATTACAAAAATGATGAAATCCATAAGGGGTAAGCTTGGTAAACAAGGGTTGGACGACGTTATTTGGGGATGTGGTGCTCAAAATATAACAAATCCTAATCCCACTACACATTCAAATGTCGGGTTCAAACCAACCTTATTTCCTCCAACTTCATACAAAATAAGCATAGCCCCTTATTTCTTCTTTTTTTCCTTCTTTTTTTTTTTTTCTTTTTCTCTTTTTTTTTTCTTTTGCAAACTAGGATTTAGGAAGACTTTAAACTTTTTAATTTGAGGTAAGGGTGTATGCAAGTTCAACACCCTTTTTTTTCTTTACTTTTCTCTTCTTCCTTCCTTCCTTCTAAAAAATCAGTTCCCTTCTTTCTCTTTCTCTTTTTCTTTTTTTTTTAAATTTTTTTCATTTTTTTTTTCTTTTTTCTTTTTTTTCATATATCACTCATAGGGCTTTAACAAGTGTAATTCTCCTTTAAAATAAACCTAGGAAAATAGCTCTATGGCTTTAAACGTAGGGTATCAAGAAGGGGTTAAAACACGGCTCAAATTGGCTCAACCTACGGGTGAATGAAAAATAAAAAAAAATAAAAAATTATGTAGGCCTAGAATGTGGAGGCTCTATTCTCTACAAGGAAATTTCAATCATTTTTTCGCAACATGCATCATTCAAGTCTCAAACAGCCAAAGAGCAAGACCAAGAAGTCGATTATGTGAAGGACAACTAATCACACATGAAGAAACACGACTGAGACAAAGTGAAATTAGTCAAATATGGCTCAAAAATCTCACCGGGTACACAAACTATTCACATAAGTAGAGCGGGGAGACCATCCTGGCCACAAACCAACTCAATTCCAAGCAAATCGGTGAATGGGTTTTCGAAAACTCTTTTCGCAAAGCACACATATATTATTATTATCATAGAAGTATAGGCATGTAATGGCATATCAATCAACACTAAAAACCAAATACTAAAAGAAAAACTAATATATACAAGGTGAAAAGTGAATCCTCCCCCAAGCTAAACCATACATTGTTCTCAATGTATGCATATAACAGTGTAAATGGACAAGGGGAGAGGGAAACAAATCTGCTGATCAGGAGGGGTAGGGGGAAAACCATACCTCGGGTCAGAGCTAGGTTGGAAGCACGGACGTGCCTTTTTTCGTGGACTCCATCTTCGTAGAATTTGCTCTTTTCACCTATTTAGATAGAGAAAATAATAAAAATTAGAACACTAATAACCACATCAAAAATCAAAAATAAAAATAAAAGAAAAGTAAAGGATCGAGAATGGGTTGCCTCCCATTTAGCGCTTGTTTATAAGGTCTTTAGCTTGACCGTAGTGATACTCATTGGCTCAACCGGGATCACCACACGAAAGGGGAACTCCGCAATGTTGCCCATGGGAATGATTGCCTGCCTTTTATCCGAACTCACCTTTATGTGGCCAAGCACATCATCGGGTGGAATTTTGTCCTTTCTTCTCACGAAATTTCTATCAAATACATACTTATCAAACAAAGGGTTAGTAGCATCGATTCTTAAGCAAGTACCACCATCAAATATAGAATTATGTTCATCAAAGAGCTTGAACATGACTTGTTTATCCTGGGCCCTAATGGTGGCTTGTCCTTCGGGAAAATCTATTAGGGCTTGACTTGTGGCGAGGAATGGTCGACCAAATATGATCGGGATCTTACGATCTTCTTTCATATCCATGACGACAAAATCAACAGGAAAAACAAGTTCGCCAACCGTAACTAATACATCTTCAACAACACCCTTAGGGAGTCTAGAGGTTCTATCAGCCAATTGAAGAGAGATAGGGGAAGGTTTAAGTCCTTGCAAGCCTAAACTCTCATATAATGAATAAGGCATTAAGTTACCACCAGCACCTAAATCGCACAAAACCCTATCGAAAAATTTCTCGTTTATCGTGCAGGGAATAATGAAACTACCCGGATCATGCAGCTTAGGTGGTAGGTTATCATATAAGAGAGTAGGGCCCTTCTTATTTACTACTTCCTTATCATTTTGTTGATCTTTCATAGTCTTCACAAAATTTGCAAATTGAGGCATTTGAATTAAAAGATCGGAAAAGGGAGTAGAAGCATGTACCTTCTCAAGGGCTTCGCAATATTTCCCAAAATGTCTATCGAGTACGGCTTTTGACAACCTTTGCGGGAAAGGCAATGGTTCCTCATAAGCCGGTGGAGCAACATATTTGGGGCCTTGAACATCTTTGCCCCTTTCATCTTTCCTAGACTCCACACTGCACACCTTCTCACCTATTTGCCTCGGAGATGGTTCATCTCTTCTCAAGAAAACTGTATTGCATTGTTCTTTCTGGACCTTTGCTTGATCGAAGAGTTGATAGGCGACTCACCTGTTGTGAAAGTTGACTTATTTGGGTTTCCATGAGCTTACTCTGGGCTTGCAACTGTTGGATGGAGCTACCTTGTTGTTGGATGGCACTATTTGTTGTGGTAATGAAGCTCTCCATCATCAACTCAAGGCTAGATTTTTGGGGAAGTAGTTGCGTTGGTTGTTGGTTCATAGGTGTTCTTTGTTGGAAACCGGGTGGTGAGTTGTAGTTGTTGGATAGGGATGGTTGTGATGGTGGGTTCTGTTGTCCTTGGGTGTTCTTATAAGAGAAGTTGGGATGTTGTTTCCAACCTTCATTGTAAGAATTGGAGTAGGGATCAAAAGACTGTTTGGAATTCGAAGAGTAGAAAGCATTGGCTTGTTCAATAGACATCTCACTCATATTCTGCGGGAAATCCGGTGCGATGTGGCCCTGAACATTGCACAATTGACAAACCTCCGGTGGGCTAGTAGAAGTTCCAGCTTGGAACTTATCAAACCTGCTTGTTAGTGCCTGCACAGAACTGGCTAACATAGTCAAAGCATCTACATCAAGCTTACCTCCTTTTTTCACATTCTGACGACCTCCTAGATGATAATTATCATTGGCTGCCATCTTCTCAATCAGCTCCTTTGCCTCAGTTGGGTTCTTTGTCAAGAGAGAACCCCCTGATGCAGCATCAATGTAGATTCGGAACTCATGGGTTAGGCCATTATAGAAGGTTTGAATCAACAGCCACTCTAGGATACCGTGATGAGGGCATTGTCTCTGTAACCTCTTGAACCTTCTCCAAGCCTCATAGAGAGACTCGTCATCTGATTGTCGGAAGGTGGATAGCTCGTTCCTCAACCTGGCAGTCTTCTCATGTCCCAAAAACTTCACTAAGAAGGCCTTCACTAGCTTGTCCTATGTGTCGAACGAGCCAGTGCCTTCATCTCTCAACCACTCTTTCGCCCTATCCCGTAGTGAAAAAGGGAAAAGGCGAAGTCTGATAGCATCATCTGTAACACCATTCAATTTCATAGTATCACATTTCTCCAAGAAACTATCAATATGACTTACTGGGCAATCATGTGGTGTGCCTGCAAATGAATCATTAGAGATGAATTGAATGAACTGTGGCTTCAATTCGAAGTGTTGAGCAGTGACAGGTGGCCTGACAATGTTAGAGAGGAGTCCGGTTGTCGTATTAGGGATACCATACTCCAAAAGAGACTTCATGGCATCTTCCATGTTTCTGTTGGCTTGGTTTCTCCTTCTTCTTCTACATGCTCGTCTTCTTGCGGTCGCTTAGATTTCAGAATCAAAAGGAATTAAATCGTCTGATCCTGAACCTCGAGTTTGCATGAAACAAGGAACTAAAGAAGAGTATCAAAACCACAAGAAACAATAGCCGAAGCAACGAATGAGGCTTAGTAAAAACGAATCACAAATAATCAAATAAAACCGTTAGTTCCCCGGCAACGGCGCAAAAATTTGATAGGCGTGTCGCGTACCTAACAAAATATAACCTAACTGACCACTACTATGTAGCAGGGCAAGCAAGGGTCGAATTCCAAGAGACTAAGGTTCAAAAATAATTAAATAGACTCAAATTCCTACTAAGCAAGAATCAATAATGATCGATTAACTAAGAAACTAATGTATGGAAAATTCAAAAATAAACTAAAGAATATGAAGAAATCAAGTAATTAAAACATCCAAGATCTAGTACCACCACAATTACGCTTGATGCAATTATATTTCTGCCCCTAACATACGATTCCAATTGAACGGAGAAAAGTAAACCCTAATCAATACCAAGGACCTCTCTCGAGTATCAATGGCTTCCCTAACATACAATCAAGCCTATTCTCATGGTATCATGCACATTAGAGACATTAAACACATTACTCTAACTTCCCAATTATCAACCCAACTATTCTCATGTTGAAAATCAAACCCTAAATTAATCTACACAAATCCGTTTAAACCCAACTCTCGCTGTGATAGAAACAATGGAATAATCACAATACTAAAATTACGTCTAACCTAGTATTGGAATAATCACAATCAATTTAGCATAGCAATTGCAAAAGTCATTAGAGAATTTAAAGATTTAATTCATGCATCAATCATAATTGGGCTGCCCTAGATCTTGGAATAGGAAATCTACTCACTCATAATGGAATAAACAATAACAAAAATAATTAAAGAAAACATAATTAAGAAATAAGAGATGAAAAGAAAATACCAAATCTTGAATTAAATTGAAGGCGGAAAGTGTAAATCTTGAATCTTGAATTACAAAAGTAAAGAAAATAAAATAGAGAGAACTAGTTCTTAATAACGCAAAATAAAAGGCTGGAATAAAACTAAATGAAGAAATAAAACACTACTTAATATATATATAGCCCTAGAAAGATAAGAAGATAATTAAATTTCTTGGCGCATAATCCTTCCAGGAGGCACGGACGTGCCTACAAGAGGCACGGACGTGCCTCAGATCGAGTGCAAACTTCCTTGGCTTCTGACTTCTAAGCACGGACGTGCCTGTTTTGGGCACGGACGTGCCTAATGTCGAAGCTCATAGCTGTGTAAACTGATTTGGAGGCACGGACGTGCCTCCCCTACTGCGCGTATCACTCATCTTAAATCAGCTCCATTTGAGGCGTGTAATATATTGTGTTGGAAAGGTCTTCAAGTTTACTTTCCAATGCAATTTGAATCACTCCATTATCATTTGTATATCAAAATTTATGAGCATAATAGTGAACAGGTGTCATATTTGTCAAGTATTTCATCAACGTTTGCTTCATTTTCACTCAATTAGCTCCGTTAATCCTGAAATACATCAAAAACAACGAAACTACCCATAAAAGCATCGAATCATCGAAACTAAACCAAATTACACCAAAATGGACTAAAACACTCAACTAAGCTAATAAAACCAACCAAAAAATAAGCTAACAAATATGCACAAAACACGACTTATCAGATTACTTTAGTATATAATATAAAAAGATATAAATAATAAAAAAAATCTACAGAAAATTCTTTGAAAAAAGATATCTAGAAAATTGGTTGTTGAACATTCTAATTGGTTATTCAATTAGTTATTATCTAAGCCAGGAGATTATTTAGAATATTCAACTTTGGCTGTAACTTTAATAAATTTCCTAGTATCTCTAATTATCTTATAAAAGTGAATTTTTTTTTTTTTTTAAATGAGAATTGGCGGGATTTCTAGGATATTAGAGGGAAAAATAGGTTTCAGTTTAATATTAACGAGAGAGGTGAAACTTAGTAACTTACGCTTTATTATTATTTATATTTATTTATTATTACATTTTCTAAGGCAACAATGTCGTTTTTTTTAAGAAACAAAACAATGCTAATAGGTTAGCTAGTCAATGAGTAATAATACATTAAATAGATAGTTTTTGAAATTAATATGATGTAGAATTGAAATATATAAGTCTCTATATACATGTAAGTCAATAGTCAGCCATAAATAAATTAAATAATGATTTTGCAAAAAAAATCATAAATAAATAAATAATATTTGAGAGAGAAAGCAAAAATACTCCACTTTTAATATAGGTATATAGATTAGTAATAGATTTTTTCAAGAAAAAATATATAGAATAGTAATAGATAGATAGATAGATAGATTAGACTTCAGATTAATATAAAATTAAAATGCTCATTCAACAATTGATAGATTTACATTTTTTTTTTCGTTGTTTAGAGAGCCACAAGGGCGAGTGATGAGAATCGATCCCGGTATCACTGAGAATCGGGAGGGGAGCTCTAACCACTTGAGATATCCCTCACTCTTGATAGAATTTTAAATGTGATAGAGGTTGAATAACGTCCTGTCAGGAGATTAAATAAAAGTTTATATGAGTTGTAAGTTTAGAAATTTAAATAATTTTGTATGGAGGAAAATTTGAAGTAAATGTAAGAAAAGGATAGATGTGTAAGTATGATTGAGTAAAAGATAGGTGGGAAAATAAAGATGGATCGGATAATGTAAGAGATATAAAGAATGTAATTTGGTGTTGCCAAAAATAACATTTGTTTTTTATATATTGATAAGATTATATAGTCAAAGTTGATGTATGAATAATAATGTAAAAGTCAAATGTTACAAGTATTCAAGAACTCAATTGTTGGAGCATTTGTGGTAGTTACTAGTTATTTACGGAGTATTATATCCCATATTCTGATCATGAATTTTTTTTAGTAGCTACAGTTTTATAGTGGATACTTCCTAAAATACATATTATAATTTTATAAGAAATATAGTCCCTAATAAGAAAATAACAAAATTAATTTATTTGACATGGAAATTCGCCTAAAAACTTGTTCAAATGTGATAATATAAATTAAATAACAAAAAATCACATGGAAAAAAAAAATTATATTGACAACAAATTTAATTCCGAAAGGAAATACAAGAAAAAACCATGCAATACATTGAATACATTAACACAACCATACAAAAAATGAACTAACAATACAATTTTATTAGGGGACATTTTTTTTTTTTTTTTTTTTTTGGGCATTTTCCCTTTTGTTCAATTGCTAGAAATATAAAATGACAGAATAAATTCTGAGCATGGCTTACTAATTAGTTAAGCCATTAGTTGGTACCACCAAGAACACCCTTGAGCTTCTTAATGACATCTTTAGGAAGGAATGTAGTTGTTGCAATAAGATCAGTTGGCAGACCGTTAGCAAAGAAAGCGTAATCTGTAATCTGAAGTCCTGGACTCGGGCTGCTGAAGCTAACAAAGGCGATAGCTGTTGATTTCCCGGCGTTGATTTGGAAATGAAGTAGGCCTTGTGGGAAAACCATTACATCACCCTTGTTAAGTGTCTTGAAGTAGACGTCGTTTGCTGAGTCAATAAAGCCAGCACAAATCTGGCCTTGGATGACAGCGAGGATTTCGGAACCCCCAGGGTGAGTGTGCATTGGGATAACACCACCAGCAGCAATGTCTAAGCGAGCAATGGAGAGTCCAAGGCCATTTACACCAGGAAACTGAGCAGCAAATGCTGGTGTAACAGCGGCTTTGATGAGATTGGAAGTGTTGCCTGCAGCGGCTAGACCATGGTAAACAAAGTCATCGACGGTGACCTTGGATGGCTTCTTGCACGAGTAGCCTGCAGGTCCGTCAGGGAGGTTCAAATCTGCAACGCAGTAGTCTCCTGCGTTAGCAGAGTAAAGAGAAACAAAGAGGGTGAGGACGACGAAGAGTGGAAGATACATCTTCGAAGATTAGATAGATGATAAGCTTGTAATGAATTTTTCGTGGTTTGATTGACAATGTCCTAGACTTGTTTATATAGAAAGCAGCAGCATGGCTGTTTATCAAGACAGCCAATCTGCTGGTCCAGCAACAACTTTTTGTTCTGATTTGTAGCTGCATTATGTATCATTACTGCAGTCATTTATCACTAATTAAGTTTCAGCTGTGCTGATAGCCTGATAATATAGACGTTGTCGATTGATTGACAATCAAGGTCATAGATGACTATTACATCTATCTTTCTCAAGAAATGATTAATGTAATGCAGTAACATATACTTGTATGACAGAACTCCGCGTTTCTGTGATTATGATTGCCTAATAAGTTCGCGTGTATGTGCATATATGTGTGTTTCTTTCGATACGTGTATTCAGAAAACAGATCGAACAGTAAGGAATTTGAGTCAGTTTCATGTAGAATAAGTGAAAATATATGCATACTTATTTCTGGAAGTATTCTGCCATTAAGTCGTTTAAGGAAGGCTTTTCTCTGCATACGAATACAAAAATTTGAGTCATACATATATCAGTAAATAAGTGAAATGAGAAATTATAATTCCTTAAATAAGTGACATGAGTCATACATATATTTCAGTTCCTTACAAATTTTGAGAAGTTGAGCTAAATGTAAGGTATTCTTGGTGTAAAGGCCGGATGGAATACCACCCTCGACACTTTAACCAACTTAGCTAATTAATTGTAATCAATGAAAAAAGAGTCCAGTAAACAAACAGAACATCAAACTATGGTGAATTGAAGTTACCTTTTGCGTCATTTGAAGGTAATTTATTGCTAGATATACATATATTTCAATGTTTTATGTAGTAGAGAAAATATAAATAAGGTGGTCCATAATCACATGGTATTGTAAAGAAGCAGAAAACGCCATTTTTGACAACTAAGAAATAGACTCTGCTAGTCTTCCTAAAATTCCAAGATTATTCCACAGAAAAATAAGTGGATCTTATGAATTACCCTTTTAAAGGGTTCGTGCCCATGTTTAGGAATTAAAGCATATTCTGTTGTTTTCGTTCATTACTCTGCACAAATATAGCCAAATATACAAAGACTAAAATGTAAAGTTAGTTCCAACCTCCTAATTTAATTACCAGATTAATCATGCTACACTAATCAAATTATGTGATTTATGTCCAACTTAATAATCCTCTGCAATCTGTCCGAGAACATTGTTCCTTTTTTATAATGTCGCGCTATATGATAATCTTTGCGTCAACATAAGCATGTAACGAATGATGCATTAAGACCTTCAGATTGATTTTCAAGTCTTAAAAGTTAACAATGTAGCATTAGGGATTAAGGTAATGTGATATGCCAAGTAAGCGTAACCGAGGGTAAGGTTTATAGAATTAGAGCCAATAGTTGTATACATTATCTGTCTAATAGCCATACATCTTCATAAGGTAAGATGGAGGAAGATTCATGTATTTTGTTCTATATGCATGGTTGTATTATATTGTTCAGTAAACAAAAAATTTAGATATTTGACAGTTGTACAGGAAGGCCACAACTTTTTCTAACAATTCCAAACTTTTTATAGAATAGATAGATATTTACTCCATGTTGAGCAATTTGAGCATGAATAATTGTTGGACTACTCCAGGTCCCCCCCCCCCCCATCAATTAACTGGTTTGGGATTATATAACCGACCGAAATCGAACAAGATAAACAGTTTAAGGTGGGAAATGCATCTCCTGCTTGACTCAAGAAGAGTGCCTAAGTCAATTATCAGGCCATAATATCTTCCTTCCCAATGTATGTGAATATGTGATGCATGGAAATACAAAATTTGCATAATTTTGGGTGAAAAATTATACTCTATTAGTCTTGGAATGCATTATTTGGACAAGGGATACTAAAAGTGCCTAAATCTTCAACAAACTTATGGGCATATAGTAGAGCATTGGTTTGTCAGTCACAATTCAATGGCGCTCCAGTAAACATGATTAAGGACAAAACTACCTTGACTTCAGATAATTAAGTCTAGTTTAAGGAAAACATTAAAATACCAAATGCAATTCAAGCACAATTAGTTGAAGCTAAGTAATAGTATAGGTTTATGTTCAAATCGAAAGAGTTGTATTATGGAAACCAATAAAGACGAAAAATGGGTTATATAAGTTGGTTGTATAAGTTGATGAAAAGGTAAATTGTTAAAGGAAAAATTCACAAGAATAATCCCACCTTTTGCACATCTTCTCATAATAGTCCCACCTTTAAAAAAATCTGGGAATAATCCCATCTTTTCTAGTAATCTTCTCAAAATGGACCCCTTTCATTTATGACTTGCAACAATAGGTGAATTAGCTTACGTGGCACTAAACGTTCGTTGTTAATATTTGGGTTTGTATTTAATTCGAAACGCTATGCTATGTCTTCTTAATTACCATCTCTCATTTCTCTCTTTTTCTCCTTTCTCTCTTTCTCCCCTTGCTCTGTAAATTCTTAATCTAAAAATGTAATATCTTTTTTTTTTTTTTAAATTTCATTTGCTATGAGGAAATCAAATTATGATGGACCTAGGTCTTCTTCTTCGTATTCACTAGCGAATTCAGTTATGAATTTGACAGTGTTCAATATAACTTCCCAATTTTTATGCAAAACAAATTTCAATTGAAATCACTTTTATGCAAAAGAAACTGCCTTGAAATATGATATGATAAGATAAGATAAACATAACATTGTGTCTGTAACATAGCACAAGTTTTATCATGACATTCAACAACCAGCATTTTCTTTGATACATTGCATTACACTGATTCCAAAAAGAAAAGACATCACAATTGCTATATGATCACTGAGTTTGCTTGTGCAATGTTGATGCTTGACTGAGTTGTGAGCTCATACAGTCAGTAAATACCCTTTGACCCCCAATTCGTCCAGCTATAGTAGTCATTGTTGATCCATCAGAACTAATCAATACTCCCACTCCTTTTGGAACCTACCAAAAAAAAAAAAAAAAAAAGGACAAAATAGTTAGAAGTGTGCATTGAGAACAAATAATAGTAAAATAAGTTTACTGATGATGGTTGGTTATTACCTTTGGTGCAGCTGACCCCCTGCTTCTCCCACTTCCCCTACTTACCCTTCCCTTTCCTCTACAGTCACCCCTTCCCCTAATAGATTTCCTTACACCTTGACCACCTCCCCTGCTTCCCCTTCCTATGCTTTGACCCTTTCCCATACCTAAAGTCCCTACACTCTCACTTAATCTCCTACCTAAACCCCTTGTAGCACCTCTTCCTTGACCTCTTCCTCTTGATCCTTGACCGATTGTTATCATCCTTCCTCTTCTACCTGATTTTGTGGGTTGGGTAGTGGTGGAATGTTGTGTCAAATCTTATGTAGAGGTGTTGACACCAACTGCTGCAGATGTGGAAGCATTTGCATCCTTTCTAAGGCTTCCCTTATGTCTCTTGGGTGCAAGTTCAACAGCCATAGGCCTATCTCTATTAGGACACCTTTTATTGTGTCCCTTCTGTAGGCATAAACTATACGTCATTTCAATTCCATGTTTGCTGAGTTTTCTAGGTTTCTTAGGGAGTTGATGTGGAGCTTTTCTTCTATTAACTCTTGGTCTTCCTGGCCCTATTTTTATAGGTGGAGGTAATAAAGAATAGTCCACCCTAGGCTAGTGCCTCTCACCTTCCGTGGGGGGAATAGACCCTGAGTACACCTTCAAATAAGTCTCCATCTTGTAACAATCATCAACAAAATCTTCAGCATCCCTATGTAGAAAAAATATACATGCCACAACATGACAACAAGGCACCCCAGTCATCTCCCATTTTCCACAAGTGCAACACTTAGCTTCCAAGTCAACTGATAATGTGTCCAAGAAATAATTAACCTGAAACTTTGTTAGAGTTGAAGACATGACATCACAGTTGGATGCTTTTTCTTTCTCTTTCTCCAATTTTTGCTGAATCCTTGGACAAAGTACTCCAGTTGTCTTCTCCATCTCGTCTCTTTAACACAAGCCTTTGCATCAAAGAAGCTCTTATGTCCTCAAGCATATACAACAAATGTTTAGTCCTTGCATTAATTATGTAGCCGTTGAATGTCTCGGCAAGGTTATTTGTCACTACATCAGTTTTTGTGCTTGTGCTCATGAATTCCCTGCAAAATAATCTTGGATTATAACTGTTAAAAGCTACAACTGCATCTTGATCCACTGCACCCAACTCATCAAGTGCATCTTGGTAGTCTACCAAGTTATAAGCTTTTACTATCTTCCAAAATCTCAATTTCATGTCATCTCCTCTAAAAGATTTGTGCCAGAGCATATATATGTGCCGAGCACAATGTCTATGCTCAGTTGATGGGAGGATAGTTGAAACGACATTAAGAATAGGCTTGCAAGAGAAAAATAAACAATATTAAAACAAGTTCAGCTCATGAATACAATTCTAAAGTAAATGGCTATAACATCACATTACTAGTACTGACCTGATGTTCATCTGAGATCAATGTGACCCCTACACCTTCTCCTAAGGCCATACACTTTTGGAGTTGTAAGAAAAACCATTCCCAGGACAGATTATTCTCTCCCTCCACTATAGCCCATGTTACCGAGTACATTTGATCGTTTCCGTCTCTTCCCATAGCAGACAATAATTTCCCCCCAAGAAAAGTTTTCAAAAAAACATCCATCTACACATAAGACTTTTCTACATCCATCATTCCACCCCTTTTGTAGACCCTCAAAACAAACAAATAATGTACTGAATACTAGAGGGCTATTATCTTCGCTAGAATCCATGACTAACTGCACATGTATCCCTGGATTACACTGGATCATACATTTTCAGAGCTTCTAAATACCTTCCAACTTTGTTATAATGGTTTTGCATAGATCCATGAAGAAGTTGATGGGCACAATACTTAACTTTATAAGAAAAGTTTTTCTTTATAACAACTTTGTATGCTCTTCTAGTAGTTTTAATAATTTCTTTAGCTGGCCAATGTGGCCTTGCCTTAAATACGTCTAGGAACTGCTCTGTTAGCCAAGTTGACTTCAGTTGTCTATTTCTCTTTATGTTCTCGTTGCAAGTACGTGTGCCTTTCATGAACTGATTTCACCACATAAGTAGCTCTTCCTGAATCCCATGATCCATATAAAGAGAAAGGGCAGTTGTCAGCACACTTTACTCCAAGTCTTTGTCCCCTCTTTTTATTACTCACAACAAAATGCAGATTCCTACCCTGAAATATAGCAAACTTAGAAACACATTGCTTAAATACATCCCTTGTTGCAAACCTTTGGTCGACCATCCACTGAAACACTGAGAAATCAGTGTCCAAACTCACTAACACACCCCTTCTCTCTTTGCTAAGCCCTATTATATCATCCTCATCAGATGTAGGTGGGGTATTGATCTTAGCATCACTAGCTTCATAATCACTCACACAACCCCCTTTTTCTGTTGGAACTACTAGTTGTTCACCAAGATGTTGCCTTTGTTCTTGTTCAATAGGAGCCTTAAGCTTCCTTTTAGCAGCCTCCTTTTGTAATTGGTGTACTATCTCAGTTAATTTGTTGTGATAACCTCTAACCCTTTTAGCTGCAGTTCTACATTCTTCATCAATATCCTCCTCATCTAGACCTTGTAACTCATCTTCAAATTGAAACTCATCATCTCCAAGATCAACATCATCCTCTATATCTAAATCGGTATCTATGTCATACCCTAGATCACCATCTATGTTCTCAGAGCCAGGCTCATACAAGGAATCACTATCCTCCTCTGAATGAACTTCAAATAGTTGATTGTAGGGCAGTGGACTATCTGGTCTACTATCCTCCCATTCATACTCAAGTGGTACCTCACTTTGGCCGGAAGTCTTGCCTTTTTCTCTGGCTACAGTTTTAGTTATCGACCTAATGAAGGTATATCTGGTGGAGGGTTTAAAGTGGTTGGAGCTTTGAAGTGTTTGGTGGGCTTGAAGTGTTTAGAGGGTTTGAAGGATTTGAGTTGATGGAAGAGTTGTTTGAACAATTAATTTCTGCTACTGGACATATGGCTTAGATGTTGATGTGGGAGCATCTTTTTTGTGTGACTCATCTTTCTTTCTCCTACGGCTAACTCTTACTGGTTGTGTTATGGCATCTTTTGTCTTTAGTGGTCCTCTCTTAGGAGTTAATTTTTTTCTTCTTTGACCACCCTTACTTAGCTTCTCTGGTTTTTTCTTTGTTTCATGTACTTGCTCATGTAAAGCTCTCTCCAAAACAGAAGCATCTACTGGCAATACTTCAGGGTCAGAAACACCATGCACCACATATAAGTTTCTGTTTTTCAAAGCAATAGCAGTCATTTTTCTCACCTCATCATCATCATAAACTCTCCTTAAACCCTTACCTAAAGTTAACCCTAGGATTAGGTAATACACCTCCTCTATTTTACAGTAATTCCCCCCTTTTTTTGCTAATTCCTCAATATACCACCAACAAAGTTCGTTTAGGTCAATTTCACATGTTATACCCTCCCCTCCTACATACGTTAATCCCTTTTTTTCTTCCTTAAATACACCACCATGCCAGAACTTCAATGTCACAATAGTATCCATTACAAACAATCAAGACTCAATTTTGTAGAAATGTAGAGCAGTAATCGAAACAACCAACAACCAACATTCAACAAACAAGTAACCACAATCACCTATTCAACCGAAAAAACCACAAAACAGAGAAAAATTGATCTAATTAAATTCGTAAATTGATCTATACATACTCGATTTCATATTCAACCCACAAAATTCAAAAAATTTAGCATTAAATCAAAAAAAATACCTTCAATTTTGCTGCTTAAAATCCACCATTGAACTTCATGAGTAGTCGGAAATTGAACTTCATACTTCAATAGCCATTGAACTTTATGCATAATCCCCACAAACCAAGCGACTCTTTTTGATTTTTTTTTTTTTTAGATTAATGGTCTTTAATTATTTGCAGGGGAAAGGGGGGTGAATACTGTAGGTTCTGAATTGGGTAGTTGGGTAATTAATTCATTAAGGAGGGAAGACTAATTAAAAGTCCACCTAAATAAAAAAAAATTACCGGTTCTCCAAGTTCGTAGTAAAATAGTCTATTTTGAGAAGATTACTAGAAAAGGTGGGATTATTCCCAATTTTACAAAAGGTGAACTATTATGAGAAGGTGTGCAAAAGGTAGGATTATTTTTGTGAATTTTTCCAATTGTTAATACATGCAAACTCAAACTAAAGACTAGATAATTTATCACTAAGTTATGTCATACAAAGTATGAGTATAACATACTAGTATTCTTTTTGCTAACAAAATATCAACATGTGAATGACAATCTACAAAATAAAACTTATAATGACAATTTACAAAATAAAACTTAGGAAAAATTGCGAGGAAAGTTCTTTTAAATGGTCGACCTTGTGAGGAAGGTCCTTTTATGAAAAAGGTGGCACAAAGGGTCATTTTATGATGATTGGGTTGTGAGGAGGGTCTTTTGACCAAACTCTGACGATGACCAATTTTTTCCGGCCAAAAAAGTCACGTGCACAACACATGACCACTGAAATCTTTTTTTTTTTTTATTTTTTTTTCTCTCCTTCCCCAAACACCACCACTGCTCCACCCTCTCTCGCCATCTCCACCACCACTGAACCACTTTGTACCATCATCACCACCATAACCGACCCTCCCTTTCCCGACCACAGCTGCCAACCCCCACCACCAAGCCGAAACTCCTACATAACTACCAACCAACCTCGATTCCACCCCCACAGCCCCCATTCCACCTCTCCCGACCACCGCAGCCAACCAAGAATTTAACTTCATTGTCTTTAAATTTGAAAGATAAAGATTCAGAACGGGCATTGCATCATCATGTTCGTGGAAATCAAATATCAAAGTTAAATCTTCTAATAATGGTGAAGATTCATTTAAAGAACCTAACCAAGCTGGCACTTGTACAAGGTAGCTTTAACAAAGTTTCTTCAGATTAGGAAGTTGAAGTTGAACAACTTTATTTTTATGTCAATCATCCTCAAATTCAAGCCAACCAAACAATTCCAAAATTACCAGAAATCGGCATTATTTAAGCAAGCAAGCAGGTATTGGAAAGAAATTGGCTAAAAATTTCCCTGTAAAAATGAATTGTTGTACATTTCAGCGGCAAACATCTTGCAAGCATGATTCTACTACATCAGGTTCAAGTGAGTAAGTTGTCTTACTGACTTCAATTTTGAATACGTCGATTTTTGGGGAAGTCAGATGCAATAGGATTTTGTTGAGGAAGAAGAGGGAAAGGAAAAAAAAAAGGGCAATTTCAGTGGTGACGTACGCACGTGACTTTTTTTTGTCGAAAAAAATTGATCAACGTCGAAATTTGGTCAAAGGATCTTCCTCACAACCCAATTTTTGTGCCATCTTTTTCATAAATGAACCTTATTAAAAGGTCGATCACTTAAAATGACCTTCCTCGCAATTTTTCCTAAAACTTATAATGACAATTTACAAATACAACTTGATTAGGAAAAGATTGAGTTTTGATTCAACCATATATACTTCCCCACTTTTAATTAGATGCACATTTTGGTTTTTGACCTTAATCATAAATTTTGCTTTGATTAACATTTGTATTTTATAGATATAAAAAAGTCAATCTTGTAAGATTCATTTAACTTTGTATTTAATTAAAATTCAATTTTTAATATTTTTTACAGTAGTCTAATCAAAGTTATTTTTTGATTAAATCTTTGCATTGCATTAACAAATGTGATAAAAGAAATATGTGATCTAATTTAGAATAAAAGAAGTAATTGTTAATTAAATGTAATAGTGCATGAGAGTGAGGTATAGCTCAAGTGGTTAGAGCTCCCCTCCCGGTTCCAAGAGATCTTAGAAATTGGGATCGATTCTCATCATCTGCCCTTATTGCTCTCTAAATACAAAAAAAAATAAAAATAAAAATAAAAAAATAAATGTAATAGTGCATGACATCGTCCTGGCCCGACCTAAATACTAGCTATTGACGATAAAGTAATACTACGTAGAACAAGTGACCCACATGTCCATATAAAAAATGGAGCATTTATTTAGATTTTAGATAGGGTAACTTTGAGGAAATAAATGGGCTAATATCAGTGTGTATGGATAGGCTTTCTTCTTTAGCATCGTACAGACAAGGCTAATCATGAAAATTTTACACTACACCCCGGTGTAGCTTCTGCTACCTACACCCCCCCTCCCCAAGTGACGTCATTTTGCACATATAATATTTTAAAACTGAACATATTTTATTAATAGTTGTAAATGAACATACAATTATTTATAATTGAACATTTAATTAAGGAGCACTATTATGGATGAAAAATGTATAAAATTTATAATTTTGTACTTGTTATTGAAAATTTTTGAAGGTAGCACACACTCCTTATTGTAATTGTAAGAATCATTTCCATGAAAACTACAACATAGCACACACTCTTATTGAAATTCCTATTAAATTTGTTAAAATAACTAATTCATGATATAATTGGGTGCTTTAATTAGTAGTATAAAAATGAACTTTTAAGTATATGCACATATTCATTTTAAAATTAATGTATTTACTTGTTGATCATGAATAAGAACGAAAATGAACATTTATCAATACGTAAATTAACATTTATATATATTGAAAATGAACATTTATCAATACG